TTTAAATCATAACATTACAATAAAGGAGCTAGATAAATGCAGCAAGCAGGCCAACTAATTATGACATAAAGAAGTCTATTGTCCAAATAGGTATATTTCTACCCATCGATTTGAGTTTGTCTACGAACTTGTTGTAAAAACTGCGCTCGCATCTGGACCCAAGCTGAATCACGAATAATCTTTTAATTTCTTTTTCGTTAGATATGGCCTAATACAACTTTGCTGACAATCCTAGAACAAATTTCGCATACGTCCAGAGCCGCTTTCTCCACCTCCCATCAGGCCTACTGAACCCATGAGCCCCATCTGGTTTAGCGGCTGCATCTGAGGTGCGCCACTACCAAGCATAGGGCCCATATATCCATTAGTCCCAACAGAACCGCCTGAAATGTAGCCTCCAGGAAGAGGGTGTCCAAGATTAATCATATTTGGAAATCCGCTCATTGGGCCTTGCTGTCCACCTCCAGAAGGCATTGGAGCCTGGCCCCCTCCGGTGAAGCTATTCATCATCATACTATTGTGTAGGCCACTACCATTTTCTGATCCTCCTCCCACGCCACCAAGCATTCCTCTCCCTGGGCTGGGGCTGCCTTGTTGCCCCTGACCACATCCAGCTGGCACCATGATGCAATCAAAAGTGGGGAATGCGCCCGAAGGGTGGTCGGGAATTGGAATTCCACTCAACTGTGAAGTGAATGTGAATGTTCCACCAGGCATCGGACCATTGGATGACATTTGCCCACCTCCATTCATCATACCCATGTTCCCTGGACCCATCATTGGTCCTCCATTGTTACTGGCATGCGGCCCCGGTAAATCTATGTGATGTGGACCGGGATGAGGTCCGCTCATTTGACAACCCATTTGGGGCCCGTTGTTTAGGCCAAAGAGGTTAGCCAAATTCGATCCAGCCTGTGTTAGTGCAGCATGCTTGGCACGATTAATAAATTGAGCTGTATTCATGTCAGCGCTTCCATGCATCATCTTAAGGCTGGAAAATAGAGGAAATTATTATGAATTTGTCCTTAGTAAGAAATTAAATTAATACTCATGTATAAAGGTTAATAATAGACCAGTTAAGTCACATAATTTACATAAAATACTAAATAATCTATGGAGTTATTTATTGACATACGCTAGCAAATTATAAATTTCGGATAAATGTTGCATCACAGTGAGGTGGCAGTTCATAGTAATTCTTCCAGAAAATAAGGACAAATTTTACGTACATACCTATTCTATAATCCATCTTAGAATACTCTAAAAATTTTTTTTCAAAATAACCTTCAATTAAACGATAACTTAAATCACAAATTAATTATGTACGAATTTAAACCTAGAAAACCATTATGATTAAATTGGATACGGTTTAGAATGCTTGGGGAGTAACTACAAACACATGCTACTATGGTTTACTCTGAGAAAACAATCTTTTAATTTTGAGGATCCATTTATTATAGACTTCCGACAAGATTAGCTAGTCGAAACATGAAAACTTTAAGGCAATAACGCTGATCAAAGGACACTCTCGAAGGGGAAGACAATTCCCCCAACGAGCTTAATAATAGTTTTGTAAAGAAACTCATTTTGAAATATCTCAATTTTATTTAAAAGCAGTAATTTATTAACTCCAGATTATGCATTAAATTAAATATGGGATGCTTCGCAATGCACATTTAAGAAACAATTGTGCTTAGATTCTTTTAAATTACACGGATCTGGTTCCTAGTTGATGAATTGTAATTAGATTCATGAACTAAGGTCGAGTGAAAAGATAAAATTTCTAGTAATATGATTTTAAATTTCTATATACATCAGAACATGTACAAAACTTTTTAGTGTATGTGTTCGAAATAAAAGTGAATGAGTAGATGGATAGAAGGGACAGAGTTCCTGATTGACTTTCAGGAGAATTGATGGCTCCTAAATCCAGAATTTGTCCTGTTTAAATCACTTGAGTGATTTGAATGTCAGCTTCTGGTTGGTTTGAAGGGTCTCAGAATAATAGGCCCAAAGACAGGATCGATGCAGTGGTGAGATTTGATTGGTCGAGGCTGATCGAGAGCGTCGGTTAGTGGTATTCACTGGTGGTGTTTTTGTTGAATAAGTGTTGGGAGATGGCAGATTGTGAAAAGTAAATAAACTAATGGTGGTAGCTAGATATAGATGGGTTGGGTCACCACAAAAATA